CTCACTCTCTCTCTCTCTCTCTCTCTCTCTCTCTCTCAACAATACCTAAGGGTTTGGGGTTCCATATGTTTGTGTTTTTTTCTGCTACTGGGAACAAAGAAAATTGTGAGGTTTAAATAGAAAATCTCTTTTGTTTCTCTTTTTTTTTTTTTTCAGTTTGGGGTGTATTTAAGAGTAGTTTGGGAAGATAGTGGGGTTTTCTTAATTGTGAAAATTTAAATTAGAATATGGGGTGAACTTAGAACATGGGGTGAACTTAGAATATGAGGTGAACTAAGAGAAGTGTGGGGTTTAAATAGAAAATCTCTATTGAAAATAGGTGGATTAAAAAAGATATTTTTTAGTAATCGACAAAAATAAATCTATTTTTTATTTATGGTGAATTACAATTTTGATTTTTGTAATTTGGCATTTTCAGTATTAATTTTTTATATCTTAAAAAGTTTAGGAGAAGCGCCAAGGCATATCAAGGCTTCTTTGATGACTTAGCCCCTCTTTTTGGTTTTTACAGATTAACAATGAAGAGGAATTGTTGACAACGGGACTCGAACCTAGGCTTGGATAGTGAGGAGAACGATCCTTACCAACTCAACCAAACCTCGTTGGCTTTGCCAATTTCAATTTAATTCTTGTAGTTCTTGTTCTAACAAGTGAATTTGTCTTTCAATTTCACCAATGCATGCATGCAGTCCAGCAAGCTCTTGTCCTTCAATTTCACCATAACAGTTAAGAAGAGAACAAAGTGTGAGGACATGATGGAAGGCTCTGAGAGCTTGACTGACATTCTGTTTTCTTGGTCTCTCCAAAACATTCTTAATGAAAATCTTTAAGATAACAGTATTGACCACAGCACTTTCTTGAGCTTTTTGTTTTCATCTCTACATGGCATGTTATATATCGATTGACTTATGATAACAGTATTGACCATGAAGTTATATCAGAAAGAACAGCAGCACCATAAGGCAGAAGAGGGATTCTACGGTGTTAAGAGCAATACATTCAGACATGTTGGCCCGAATAATGAGGCTGAGGTGATTTCTGCTTTTTCAACTAATAATGTGACTGCTTTGCGCCAGCTTTTCATGACAGTCAATCCCGAACTCTGTTTTACTGTCAAGCAACATGTTTCACAATTGAAAAGGTGAGCGGATTATTCGAATAAAGATGTTTGCTCCCTTTTTTATTTCTTTAAAACTAGTTTGTTTTTTTCAGAAATATTTTCATTTGACAGAAAACTTCCTTCTTACTTTTTCTGCCGAAAGGCTCTGTTATAAAGTAATGGCTTTCTTTTGGGAAGGGTGCTCTGCCTTCTTATTTTCTGGTTTTTAATTTCTTTTAGGTACAAATCAGAAAAATAATAAGGGCCTGTTTGGGTGAGGGATTTGGACAAGGTATTTGGGCTTTCATGGGATTTACAATTCCCTATGGCCCCGTTTGGTTCACGGAATGAATTTGATGGGAAATCATTTCCCATGTCATTTCCCAAGGGATAGGAAATGGTGATTCCTTTCCCATGTTTGGTAATGCCGGGAAAGTGACCCGGAAATATCACTTTATTTCCTTTCCCATGTTTGTTTTGAGTAGGAATGGAAAACAAATTTTGCTTAGTTTCCCAATTGTATCCCTATTAAAATAATACAAAAAATACCAATAATTGTTGGATAAAAACTGTAATTATGAATTGTTAATAAGGACAACTTAGTCATAAAAAAAGTTAGTCTTACTTTCCCATGGGAAGGGAAAGTGAAACCCAAGTAGGAAGGAAGGATTCACTTTCCCTCCTACTTTCTCATGTGCTAGGCAACGCTTTCCCATGCATGACTTACCAAACATGGGAAATCAATTAGTTTCCCATCCCCAAGATTCCTTTCCCATGAACCAAACGCAGCCTATGAGTCTATGACCCAATTACCTTGTTTGACAACCCCATTAGGAGTAACTTCATAAATGACTTGGGATTTGGAGGAGGGACTTGTAAAGTCCAAATCCCCTTCTGAAATACCGCCTCCCCACACGTTACTTTGAAATTTTCTCAACGCTCGAACCAAACCACCACCAACAGAAAAATCAATATGGGTTACTAGAAATTAAGGTTCAGCAGTACCAAAGAACAAAAATGGCATTGACTTCAGTAAGGAAGAGAGAAGAAGGGGGGTTAAGGACCTCTATGTTTTCTTTGATGTACATCTAACAATGGTCTCCTCAGAACAGTAAAATGAACCTGCAATTTCTAATGGTAAATCCACTCTTTTTCTTATTGTGATTACATCTGTAAAATTAAGCGTCAAATTTAAATCAAGAGATGAAGAAGATAACCACTAAGAATTAAAATGAAGGTTAAACGACACTTGATCTTGATTTTCGTCTGCAATGGCCGAGTCAATGGTAGCTTTGAGCAACTTGATGGCACAAGAACATGTTCTTGGTTTTATGAGAGAGAATGTGATTTGGTTGGAGTGATTTTTATTTTTATTTTTACTTTTTGTTATTCAAGTAAAAATTAATGTATCGTAGATTTAAGGATGAGTGAGCACAACTTCCTTGGATCATAGGGTCCAGGAGAACAGGACTGTATAATGTTTTTTTAGCCAACCTTTAGGAAGAGGGGGGAGGGGGGAATAAATCACACACACACACACACACACACACACTCTATATCAAACACAAAAACAAAAACAAAAACTAACACGCACTCACATGTACTAGGGCTTGAACCCAAGAAAGGCTGGGTAGAGGCTATGCTCTTTACCACTACACTAGTGGGCCACTTGCAAGCATAACACATATATTGAAAAAGTAAATGTTGATGTGAACAAAGGTTATACAAGATAGTGAAAAAAAATTACTATGTGGTTGATGCATGTACTTCACATAAAGAAATGAAAAGGGTAAATTACTCAAATGGTACTCAAATTTGTACTCAATTTACATTTTGGTCCCTCAATTAAATTATTCGTTCAAATGGTCCATTAACTATATATTAATCGTTCCATTGGTCCCACCGTATAATTTTCTGTTAGATTTAACCAAATTTTAGGGTAAATACGACTTTTCATAATTAACAAATAAAATAGGGTTAAAATAAGGGAGCTTCACTAATATACCCAAAATGGGTGTTGAAATTATAAAAAAAAACCCATATGGAAAACACTTTATAAACACACCCAAAACCCATTTATTAAATAACAAATTAGTGTTGAAGTTCCAATAAATTACAGGCACTGCCACTATCAAGCCCAACATAAAAAAAACTCAAAAAGCACCCAAAACAACCCCAGCCCAAACTTATAAAAAAGCCCAAAGATTTTACCATCTCCAAAACCATAATTTCGTTCAAAAAAATGGAAAACAAAACCGTAACTTCCAGCCTGCAACTTCAATTAACCATCTCTGCCAAACGTCCCTTTAGTCACCGTCTTTATCAAAGTGTCTTCTTCATCTCTCGAAACCGAAACTCCATAACCACCACCAAGCTTGATCTACTTTCAAAAACAAACACCACACACTGACCTCCACCTACAAAACCAAGACAAAATTTCAGAGAACAATTTCAACAAGAAAACGCTTCAAAGGTAAGACATTTACAAACCAAACCTACACT